GGTGGTGGNGAGGGGAGGGGGGAGAGGTGAAACACTTTCTGATACGAGAAAAAGAATTGTTGATAGTAAACCCATCCAACGAACATTAAATGGAGGGAATATGTACCTTGTGCTTATTAAGAAGCGTATATTACTTCTTTGCCATAACTTACAATGTCGTGTATCCCCTTAAAGTAGCAGAATCTAAAGACCTTCGGCCCAACCACGATTTATAAATATTGGCTCTGATCAAGACCACAATACAGTACATTTTGTAAAATGAATACGTACTAAAAAACCTTCAATATATGCTGTGAATGATGTCTTTGCATCAGAATCCATTCAAACAACAATAAAGCAAGATTTCATCACACAAAAACTAAAGTAGCATTCCTCCATACCACCACCACCACCAACAAACACACACACACCAAAAATAACTATTTACGTCAGGAATAAGTATGAATTTTATTAATTTTGCAAAAATAAGTAAATGAACTCGGACCATTGATTGTCCTTTTGGAAATAGCTGCTCTACGTTTTTGTTTTCTTGTAAAATGTATTTAAAAAAAGCATTTAATAAAACACACGAGGAATTCATCACAGCATTTATAGATAAGGGGAAAATTTTGGTACAACTGTTGAAGTAATTACCATGCTCATCACCATTATTTTCTTAGCTTCAAAAAAAACATAAACTGAAAATAAAGAACAAAAACCGAAAGACAGCTTTCAAGCATCACCGGGCACTGCAACTGAAAATGTTCCCTGAATGACTAATAATACCGGTAAGCAAAAAATATTAGAATTATCAGAAAGACAACTAACTCCTTGTTTATACCCTTGATGCCTAGAAATGACACATCAGGTAGATGCTAGTTCTCAAAATAATTAGGCATAAATAAAAGTGAAATGCTTTATGTATTGAAAACAGCAATGAATATATATATATATACATACATTCATATATATATATATATATACACAGATAGAGAAAAAATGACACAATTTTTTATGGACTCTTTTGTGGAGAAATAAAAGAGCCGTAGACCTGTTTCAAGTGTTGCAGGAATGCGTCATAATGAGTCGGCTCCACCCAGGTGCTCCATTTAATTGTTGACAACAACTCCATCTCCAGATGATTGAGCTCCCTATTACTGACCCCACCGATGCTCGCGTAGTAGGCATTGCTGTAGTAGACGTCGTCACGCAGCTTCGCGCTGATCAAGACCGCCGTGATGGAGAGGCGATGGATGTTACGGAAAGTTGTCGGGATCCCGGTCGCGACGCAGTATCGATCGATAAGAATCATCGAAAAGATAAAGCATTCGGGGGTGCACCCGGAGTACTTGGCGATGCGGCGCACGTAGTCCCACATAGTGATACTCGGGACGTGGGTGCTATGGAAGACGGACTGGAAGCTGAGCTCGGCGTGGTGTTGCTCCGTGCAGCGCTGTTGCAACTCCAGGGCCATAAGCTGTGGCAGCTCGCCCATCTCGGGGGGAGCGACAGGGGGGATCGGCGCGGCGGGGGCCCACTGCCGTGAGGGCGCGTGGCCGGGCT